GCCCTGCTGCTGCCTCTGCTCTGCTCAGGGCAGCCAACCCAAGCAGTTTAGCCCTGCCCCAGCTGCCCACGTCCCTCTCAATGGGACAGCAGCCACAAGCAAGAGCAGCAGCAGCCTCCCTCCCCTGCGATGCACACACTTGTCTGTGCTCCCCCCCCTTCTACTCATCTCCTCCCTAGGGACCCTGACCTCCCCCACCCCCTCTGTCTCTCCCGGGCCCTTTGGCTGCCAACCCTGCTATGGCTGCCTCTCTGCCTCAAGGCCGAGCTCTGCAGCAGACTGCGGTTTGCAGAGTGGCACAGGGAGTGCCAGAGCCTGGGGAAGGCAGGGGGCTCAGGCGATGGCAGGCTGGAAATTAATAATGCAGCGCTCATCGACCGCAGGTGCTGTGTGTGTTAATACTGCATTCCCAAGCAAAGCTTCCGACTCTTTTTGTTTCTTCAAGGCTTCCCAACCTGGGTCTGATCTGCAGCTCTCTGCAGCTTTTTGCCCAGAAAGCAGGGGACTGGGTGGGACCAACCCTGCTATGGCTGCCTCTCTGCCTCAAGGCCGAGCTCTGCAGCAGACTGCGGTTTGCAGAGTGGCACAGGGAGTGCCAGAGCCTGGGGAAGGCAGGGGGCTCAGGCGATGGCAGGCTGGAAATTAATAATGCAGCGCTCATCGACCGCAGGTGCTGTGTGTGTTAATACTGCATTCCCAAGCAAAGCTTCCGACTCTTTTTGTTTCTTCAAGGCTTCCCAAACTGGGTCTGATCTGCAGCTCTCTGCAGCTTTTTTGCCCAGAAAGCAGGGGACTGGGTGGGATGTGGAGGCAAAACCACTTTCACAGTTCACACCCTGGGCTTGCTGGCCCACCCCAAATCCTGTACACTTACTTGCTGGGTCCCCTCGGTCCAGACCCACCAACCTTTACATCCCAAAGTGTAGGTGTGAAGTCCCCATGTCTTTCCTATTGTACCTCCAAGTAGGGGACTGTCCTGTTCCATCCCATTTCTATACACATCCACCCCCATGGATGCTCCCAGCCCTGGGTTCTTGCCTACCTCCCACTCCTCCCACCCTCACCAGGCTACTTCACTGTGGCCCCAAACCTGCCCTTCTTCTCCCTAATGCCCCCCAGCCCCTTTCCACACCAGGCATTTCCACCCTGATCTGTGCCCCACCTCCCTCTACCCCCTCCCCACCAGCACCCCTTTCCCCTCCCTCCCTGCCCACAGCCTTGCCCAGGCAGGCAGGGATGCCCCATCTCAGACCAAGCCCATTAGAGCCGATGCAAATGGGGTCTGAACCTGCCATCGGGCGCCACAGTTTTCCCATCTCGCGTCCTTCACCAGAGATAAATGCCAAGCAAGGAGCCCCACCAGCGCGACCTGCACAGGTTGGCAGCCTCGGGGGTGAAGCAGCCACGTGCCCCTCACCCTGAGGCTTCGGCAAGAAACAGCAACGCCCGCAGCC